TTTGTTACAAACCTGTCTGAAATCGCAATTTCCAAACTAGAACTTGTATAAACCTCTTCTTGATATCCGAAGATATCAGAATCATCTATTACTGATCTATTATTACTAGCTAAATTCTCCGCTAAGATCGTACACTCTTCGGATTGTAGTCTTTTTGTATTTTCACAATTGGTTACTCCATCTTCCAACATGCTAACGCCCATATCTTCTAGGATTTCAGGTTCAATGAGACTGGCATCTCCAGAATACGGCCATTTTGTACTATTTTCAGAGTGATTGTTGAGAGTATTGTTTAAATTGTTATTACAGCCATTGTCCAAACGTAATCGTTTACTGTGAACATATATATGGAGAACTCTTTTATTACAAAAACAACTTAAATACAAACCTACCAATTCAATTGTAAAGGAACAAATTTTATATAAACCTGTTCCACCAGGGTGATGATGAAGAAGATGGATCTTTATTCATTATATGTGAACAGATACAGAAGCTCTTATTCTCCAAATTGAAATGATATCAAGTTCTTACAATGAACTGTTATAAAACCAGGCAAATACTGTAGGAAAGGATTAGTATTTGAATTACACATACAAGGTATATTAGATATTATAAAGATCACAATGCAAAATACTAGTAATGTTACATACAAATCGCAAAAAGAATAAATTTGTCTTCTTAAATAAAACTAAAGACATTTGTATGTAACAGCAAAGAGAAAATTAAGAGACTCATTTATATGATCATGTATATAAAAAAAGCAAAAGAATATTATTTGAACCAATCCTTACCAAAGGTCTACCAAAAAAAAATATACATAGTTTTGCTGTTATTTACTATTTTACTTGTTAAGAACACATATTTACTCCATAAATCTCACAAGTGATACAAATGCGAAGTTCAATCTTACATCTGACAAAATCACGAAGATAATTCATTAGGATTATAATCGAAGTTTCCCGAATCCGAAACTCTCCTAAAATACGAACACTGAAATTTGTTTGCGAAAATACAGGAAGAAACTTACGACCGACAGCTAAAAACGTGGCGATTTCTCGACAGCGAAATCTCGACTATGGATCGCAGTACATTCAAGCGTTCACTGTGAGATACAACAAAGTTAGGACAGTCGATCGTAGGATACTTTAAATGCTATTCAATACTATTCAGAACGTTCCTTACAACCAGGAAAAGACAACAAAACGCCCCGACTGTATCTTGACTGTATCTGTAACCTTACTTACGAAAGGGCGAGCGAAAGAGCGCGCGCGGGTGTACAGTGTACACCTGCTGTCCTGTTTCCTCTCCCCCTCCCCTCTCCGCTCCCAAGAAAGCACAGGCAACAGGTAAAAAAGTTGGAGTAGGTATGAGGTCGAGCTAACAGATAACTAAAAGCGATGTGATAAGGATATAAAGCCTAACCTTTCGGGCAAGGAGGACTCCTGGGATCTCGATGGACGGGACTTCTCCGATTTTTCGTGTGGTCGTGCGTGCTCGATCACAATGCCGGAACTCATCCTTAACGAAAACCGCCGCGAGCCAGCCTGAGTATCCTTCCAAATCTCCGCAAGATATCAAAATCCACTCGCTGAGATGCGCTCCGTATATACTGGTATATACTGGCAAAACAAATCGCTCCGTAGCGATCTGTCCCGCGCGCGCGTGATTATCCCGCCGAGCCGGCTCGATGAGACGACCGCAGATTGGCCGGCCGTCAAAAAGCGGGAACGCGGCGAGATATCGAAACGGCAGGAACGCGCGCCGCGCATGCGCAATGCGCGACAGCAGCGCCGTGCACCGCGCATTTTGATTTCGCGCCTTTTCCACGTTCGACTTTGCTACGAGCATGACCGCGTCATCGCGTGGTTTCGCGTTAGTGGCGTTCTCATTTTCGTGCATGTCAAATTTGGTTTCATCAATATGCATACTTAGTCAAAAAGATAAATAAAAACATGAGACATGAAATAGCAGATAAATTGCGCCATTCTAAATAATAATGTGGTCAACAAAGATGAGAGAGAGGGAAGACGGCTAAAGACTGAAATTTCAGTTTCAGCTGAAATTAAGAGAAAATTTTGAGAATAATTTTGATGTGATTTGATTTCTTGAAAAATTGAGAATGCAATATTATTATATTATTATAGTTAGATATTTTAATGAAATCCTATTTTTTTAAAGAGTACATAAATTTGTCATGATTTCTGAAAATTATACGATCTCTGTCAATTTAATCCAAAAGTGTCAATTTCGATTCCGGCAGAAAAATATGTGACTCCATTTTAGTTTCTTTCTCTTTTGTTTTCGGTTTCGTTTTTGGCCGAAATTGAATGAAAACCGAATATTCGTTTTCGATTTCGATTGGAGGTCAAAAGGTCGGCGGTTTCGATTAGACTCTAAAGACAGTTGATTTCCTTCTTTCTAATTTATTATGATTGATTAAATAGAAAGAGATTGAAATTGATCGTCTTCGCGTTCTATTTCTCTCATTTTTGTTGATTCAATTTTGCACAAATGGCGCAGTCATCACGAGGATATTTAAATTTCCACCCAAATATCATCCAGATATCAGTCTATCTTTATTATTTATCGAATATTAAATAAAAATATTATCCGGTTCAGCTAAATTTTATCCCTTATAATCCATTTTTACCAATCAACTCTCAATATCTAAACACGAATGTATATTTTTTATCTTTTTTAAAACTTAAAAAAAAGTAAATCGAGATTTATGTTAATTTAATTGCTAAAAATGGATGCTGAGCATTTAAACCAACTGAGACTTTAATATCCTGATTTATAATAGATATGATAGACCTTTAAACTTTTTAACGTGAATTTGCTTTAAACTGTATTTTAATTTTATAGTTACCCAAGCAGAGCAACAAATCAATAATTATAATATCAAAATGATGTCAAAATGTTTCCAAAATTATCATTAAAAATCATTTTTTAATCATTTCCGATTCATTTTAACGTCATTTATCGTAATTTGTTGTTCTGCTTGGGTAGCATCTTTAAATGGAAACATTACTGCTCGCTACAAAAGATGATTTGTCAAACATGTGAATTTGTTTGATAAAAAGCAACAAATTTGACAATTTTTTGCAAGCCCTTTGCGTTTCATAGCAAAATTATTTTTCTTCGTATCCCGTACAGCACAGAAGCAATATTGCTGTAAATTGCAATGTAACATTGTAGAGATATTACAGAAATATAAATTAACAATATGTCTGCAAAATGTCAGTATACCTAGTATAATATTCCAGGAACATTGCAAAACTATAATTTTTTAATTGTTGCAATAACGATAATATAAAAATATAGTTTTTTACAATATTTATGTAGTACAGGTTTTCTTTTAGTTTAACAACCATTTTATGATATATTAGGTGTACAACTTTGCTTCCGCCGTTTTCCTATAGATGGCTTTAGCGGTAAGTGGTCGAAATAAATAGATCATAGATGTCATACAATAAACTTGGGCATCTGTCAACATAACCTCATAGAAACATTAGTCGATTTGTGTCTGCATCATAAAGTTATTCTCGATTGAAAATGTCAGTTTACGAGCCAAATTCTCGTCATTTGCGAGAGGTTTTAATTTTTTGCTTCAATATGAAGAAATCTGCGGCTGAGACTTATCGAATGCTCTCAAATACTTATGGTGAGGCCGCTATTAGTGAAAGAACGTGTCGTGAGTTTCAACGCTTCAAGAACGGTGATTTTGACGTCCAAAGTCATGCTCTGTATTTGGTGGGACCAGCTCGGCGTAGTGTATTATGAACTGTTAAAACCGACTGAAACAATCACAGGCGATCGGTATCGAACGCAATTGATGCGTTTGAGCCGAGCATTGAAAGACAAATGGCCGCAATACAACGAGAGACACGATAAAGTGATTTTGCAGCATGACAATGCTCGACCCCATGTTGCGAAAGTGATCAAGACATACTTCGAAACGTTGAAATGAGAAGTCCTATCCTACCCGTCGTATTCTCCAGACGTTGTTCCCTCTGACTATCACTTGTTTCGATCAATGGCACACGGCCTGGCTGACCAGCACTTCCGGTCTTATGAAGAAGAAAAAATTGGATCGATTCGTGGATAGCCTCAAAAGATGACCAGTTTTTTCGACGCGGGATTCGTACGCTACCCGAAAGATGGGAGAAAGTAGTGGCCAGCGATGGACAATATTTTGAATCATAAATGTATAACCAGTTTTTTACAATAAAGCCTCGAATTTCGGAAAAAAACGGCGGAAGCAAAGTTGTACACCTAATAATAATTAATATAATTCATTTTTATATTTAAATACAAAATTTATTAATCTATTATTTGACGGCCATTTCGTTAGCTAAGTTTTAAATTTATTTATTTTAAAAATAAAATCAAAAGATTGTATAATATCGATTATATAATATTGATTAGGATACAATCAACGCATTATTATCGGATAAGACGATAAGCAATTAAGCTGTTGAAAATAATTTATCGAAATATTAATTATGTGATTAATAATGTGAACGCAAGAATAAACTAGCAACCGAATTTTACGAGAGCAAGTCAATAAGTTTTTAGAAAAACATAGTAAAACACATTTTTTTTTATCGATTCATTTTTATTTTTCAACATAATCTGCTTTCAGCTCGATACACTTGATCCAACTTTCGATTCTCCAACTTTTTCAAGCCGAATGATATGATTTGTCCAATCCTTCAAAATAAGTCTCTGTTTCGGCGATGAGCTATTCTCTAGTGGTGAATCTGTTTCCTCCGAACCATTCCTTCAGGTTTGGAAACAGAAAATAGTCGTAGGGGGCTAAATCTGGCGAATATGCTGGATGGGGAAGCAATTCGTCGTGGAATTCATTGAATTCGGCTATCGGTGCCGGGCACGTGGGAACCCGTGCATTGTCTTGATGGAAGAGCTCTTTCTTCTTTGCCAAATGGGGACGTTTTTTTCTTTAAAATATTGTTGAAACGGTCCAATAAAGCTGCGTAGTAATCGCCATTGATTGTTTGCTTCGACGGAAGATAATTGATATGAATTATATCAAGTGCATCCCAAAATACTTATGGCCATCCTCTTTCCATCCGACTTTACGGTCTTCACCTTCTTCGGAGCTGGTTCAACCAGACCCGACGAAGTCCATTATTTTGACTGTTCCTTCGTCTCGAGTGTGAATGGATCTATGTTTCGTCCACGTAATGAATCGACGCAGAAATTCATCTGGATTACGTTGGAACATTTCCAAACATTGTTTTGAAATCACACGGTCGCGTTTATGATCCACAGTGAGCAAACGCGGCACCCATCTTGCCGATAGCTTTTTCATATTCAATTGTTCGTGCAAAATTGAAATCACTGTCATGTGATATGCCTGAGGCTTCAGCAAGCTCGCGCATTTTCACTCGTCGATCAATCAAAACAATATCGTGGACTTTATCGATAATTTCTGGCACAGCCTCAATTGAACGTCCCGAACGAGATACATCACATGTGGATGTATGACCACGTTTAAATTCATTCATCCAATTGTACAGTCGCAAACGCTGGTGCAGATGTGTTGAACATTATCCAACTCGGCTTTGATTTCTTTCGGCGTTTCATATGTAAATCTTTCATATGTAGATGTTTGATCTCTGATTTGACAAAATTTGTTTTTTTTCCATTTTGCAAAAAATACAAAAGTTGTTCGCTTTAATCGTCTACAGAAATGAAACTACGCAATGAATTCCGCTCAAAATTTGACAGTAATCAGCTGAGAGGTGTTACTTGTCAAAAAGTAATGTGACATGACACTGCGAGTGTCCTGTCACATTACTTTTTGACAAGTAGCATCTCTCCTGTATCTCTGACAGATTTTCTAAGAATTTATTGACTTGCCCTCGTATTGATTCATACTGTCATTTTTTAATCGATTTCAATTGACTCATAGTGGCTTCGAATTTAAAAAAATCACTGCGATTAACTTAATCCATAATTAACTTATCAAGTAACTGTATTATTATGTTAATGTGGATATTTGTAGTTTGTTTTTATAGTTTGTTAATATTTGTAGTTTGTTCGGGATAAACACATATATGCTTTAATTTTTATATAAATATCCTTCAGAATTAATACTGCATTTATTAGAATATTTTATGGTTTTATCATAAAAAATTGCTTTTAGAAAGCACATATCTCTAGTAATGCGATTTGTAGAAAAATTAAAGTAGTGAGATATATGTACAAAAAATAGTTTTCATTTTAGAGTCTTCGTAAAAAATTTATTCAAATAAATTATATTCCAATATTCCTGGAATGTTTCGTTGCAATATAAAGTGGACATCTTAACATTGTTGGAATCTTACAGCAACATTTCGCAATCACCATGCAATATTGTAATGTTTCAGTAAAATCATTCTGCAATGTTTCTACAATCTTTCTGTGCTATATGGGATGTCATTTATAATAAAACACTTTTTTTTATTATCGAAAAGATTAAAAATGAATGAAATAATCTTATTATATAAAATCGAAATACGCATTTGAATTTATTATAGGATTATAACTAAATTACTATTATTACATAAATTATTGTTAAATATTATACCATATTTCAATAACGAGTAATAAAAATA